GAAAAGCATGAATAAAGGAGAAATAATGTTGACACAATCTCAAAGGTCATCTCATATTCATCAATATTTTCCCATTTCAAAGTGTTTATATTCCCAGCATCGCCAATAGCATCCTAAGAATCTACATTAACCAAGAAAGCAGAGGACAGCTTCCTCACCCATTTACAGAAGGTATTGAGGAGGTCAGAGGACCCACAGGACACTGGGCTTTCCTTCGCCTCTTTCCTCTTCCTCCTCCTTCCACTTCCGGCTGTCACTCCCACATTAAACCAATGGTGCTATCACTTCTCTTCTTAGGGAAGCAGTCTCCTCCATTCCTCAGAAAAGGGAGAGGCAAGAGAATATTATCTATCATGAATAAAGTGCTCCAATTTTGCAAAACAAGCAACCCCTTCTTATGAGAACAAAAAGAAAAGACCTCTTGTTTTTGCCCTGCATCACCTTTAATATCATATTCTCTTTTGTAGTGCTAGAATTATCCTTAAGATGAGCAGTTTTAATTTTTCTCAAATTGCAACCCACTGAGTATGAATGAGACTGCAAGCTTCTCCTCAAATGATATTGGAATTGCTGCATTCATCCCCCACTTTAAGTCACACCTCACATCAGTGTGTTAAAGAAGCAGCTTCACACTGAAGAAATGTGTTTAACCTTCTGTAACTGGTCCAGGCCAGCAGAACTACCCCAGAGCATATACTACTCTCTTGTGGCCCAACCTGATTCTCCTTTGCATTATTTCCATCTGATTTTCTCCCCCTCTCACCCCAACTTTGGCTTCTTAAAGGTTCTCATCATATTAGACGAAGGTTTCTCAACCTTAGCACTATTGACATTTGAGACCAGATAACTCTCTGTCGTGGAGGGGACTATCCTGTGAATTGTAGGATGTTTAGCAGCGTCCCTAACCTCTACCCTGTAGAAGCCATTAGCACCCCATTGTGACAATTAAATGTGTCTCCAGATATTGCCTAATCTCCCCGGGATACAGAATTGACCTTGGTTGGGAACCACTGATGTAGACTATCAAAGCATGCCCCTGCCAGCCCCACAGTGAATATTTATGATATATGACTTATGATATATGAGTTTAGGAGAGCAAAGGGGGTTTCCTTTGGGCTTGCCTGTCATGGAAGTGCTCATGCAGCTGCAGTGGCACCTTGCTTGCTTAGGCTGCCCCATCCCTACTGTATGTCTTGACAGAACTCACTTTACCTAATAAGCTTTTAAATCAGATGCTTAGAGCATCTGGGACACAGCCTACCTACAGTGACAGTCCAGAAAGGGAGGGGCAAAATTTTCCTCTCACATTGTGGAATTCTCTGGATTTCTAAACCATGTTGTATGACACAAAGCGGCCAAACTCTTTTGTTTCTAATTGTCAGAAAGACATGTCAGGCTTTCCAGTGAATTTGAAGCTTCCCCAGGGTGCTTTTTCTTTTCTCAGCTTCATGACCAAGCCTTGCCAGTGAACACCATCCCTCCGGACCAAGGGATTCTCTAAGCTTTCCCTTGAGCCCTGTCTACCAGTTTCTTGAAGAAAATTTTCAGCTGTATTCTAACTTCAGAATGAGTGCTCAAGAGTTTAAAAGAAGCTGCAAGGCTCATGAATCTTGGGAGACAATTTCAATAATCTTTTGAACAGGGGTCCACAACTTTTTTTATAAAGGGCCAGATAGTAGATATTCTAGGTTTTGAGAACCAAATGGTTTTTATTGCAGTTACTCAAATCTGCCATTGTAGCCTCAAAGCAGCCAGAGATGATATGCAAGTGAATGGTCATGGTCCTGTTTCAAGAAAACTTTATTTATAGTTTGTGGGCCAGGTCATGGGCCAGTTTCAGCCCACGGACCATGAAGACTCCTGCTTTAGAGCACTCTAATGAATAAAGCAGGCTTTGTCACCACAACTGCTATGAGGAAAACCTTATGCTCTTTTTCCAGCAAAAGTCATGCGCCACATTCTCCACAGGTAGACAGACTGATAGAAAGACTAGAGTCTGCCAAATGCAGTCCCAATCCCAAAGGCCCTTTGGTCTCAGATTACCCTTTGTCTGCTGCTACCCTTCTCAAGTTACTAAAGTTAAACTTTGAGCTTGCTTTCAAAAGGGAAGATGGTGCCTCTCTTTTCTAGAGGTTGATCTCACTTGTCCCCATCTCTACCATGCCCCAGGAAAATTTGCAAGTCATGCAAATGCAGCCAAGAGGACCACTGCCTGAGCTCCGACCTGGAAGATGATCGGAAAATTGGCCGCTTGCTGATGGACTCCAAGTATTCCACCCTCACAGCCCGGGTGAAAGGCGGGGATGGCATCCGGATTTACAAGAGGAACCGGATGATCATGACCAATCCCATTGCCACTGGGAAAGATCCCACCTTTGACACCATCACCTATGAGTGGGCTCCCCCCGGAGTCACCCAGAAACTGGTAAGACAGCTTCCTCCAACAAAGTGGTTGCTTTTCTGCCCTTGTAAATGTTAGCCATGCTGGGTTTTGAATTTCAAAGACAAGGTAAGAAGAAGGCAAGGTTGCAGAAATAGTAGAAATGACTATAGTTTCATTTCTGCTTGTACCTCACAATGTGATCTTATAGTGAAGACTGTCTGGGCCTCAGTTTTCCTCATCCATAAAATGAGTAGAGTTGTTCATATGAACTCTTAAGGGCCCTTCCAACTCTAGTACAGGGTCACTCACAGTTCCCTTTGGGCTCCTCACTTCTGAACAAAAGATGGTTTATCATCCAGAATGCTCCAAGTGCTTGTCTTCATCTATGAGATGTTCATTTCCCCTCAAAGTGGCCTGGGATGTGCCATTTGCAAGCATCTAGGAGAACAGAGAAACAATCCTTGCTTCTCCCTAACAGCTGAAGTCTCTTAGGCTTAGAAGGGAGGACCAAACTAGCTTTTTCACAACTGTGGGGAAGAGGCACCCAGAGAAGGCTTTGGCAAATGATTGGAGAGGCTCTGAGGAAGGTAGAAAGGATAAAGCCCACAGAGAACAGGTGATTTGCATAAGGTCATACCCTGGCTGCCCCTTCGAATCTCCTGGGAACCCCAAAAGAGCCCCTATGCACAGGCCTTGTCCCAGACCATTAAATCAGAAGCTCTAGATTGTAGGATCAGGATCACCAGATGTGAGCATTTAAATGATGCCCCAAGTAATGCCACAGGCAGCCACGTTCAAGATCTAGTAGACTAGATTGATGCTCCTTAAATTTCGACAAGCATATAAATCAGCAGCTTGCAGAAATATATCCAGTAGGACTGGGCCTAAGAGTCTGCATTCCTAACAAGCTCCTAGGTGATGCTGATGATTGCTGCTGGTCCTCAGGCCACACCTAAAGTAGCGGCCCTTAACATTTTTGGCACCAGGGACCAGTGCTCCTATGAGAGCACTGATGCCTGATGATTTGATGTGGAGCCGAGGAGGTGATGCTAGCTCTGGGGAGTGACTACAAGTACAGATGAAGCTTCACTCACTTGCCCGCTTCTTACCTTCTGCTGTGCGGCCTGGTTCCTAACTGGCCACGGACCTGTACGGATCTGCAACCCGGCAGTTGGGGACCTCTGGTCTAGATGATTTCTACAAGTAAATGAGCTAAAAGAGGTCCTAGAGACCTCTTTTATAGCTTGACATTTAATTAAATCTCTCCTGAGAGAAAAGCAGAGCCTTTGGAGTCCTGTGTGGTCCCATGTCCACAGGCTCCTCCACAGCTCCTGCTGTACCCCCTTCACTTAATACCTTAGGGTGTACTGGCCTTCCTCCTTCCTGCTCTGGAACACCCTAAGCTTTCCTCCTCCTCAGGGACCTTGCACTTTCTGTTCTCTTACTTGAAACATCTTTCTCTGCTCTTGCATGGCTGAGTCTTTCTGACAATCAGGCCTCTAACTGTCCAAACTGGTAGTAGATGCCACCCATCTTCCTACTTTCTTTCTCTCAGTTCGCCATTGGTTCTTTAGAAGCTTTTAGAAGCAAGCTACAATTATATCACTTATATATCTGCTTAGTTGTCCTCTCTCCCACACTGGAGTGAAATGAGGTCCATGAGGGCAGACATCATGCTGTCCTGTGCATCGTCCTATCCAGCACCTTCCACCGTGCAGGGCACATAGGAGGCTTGATGAGTACATGTGCTATGTCACCCTCCTGGTCAGTGACATTCCACATATGGTCTGTGGAATGGCACCACTTTACAAAATCCTTATGACTGGTCCACAATGACAAGTATAGAAACTGAGAATAAATGTTGGGAAAATTCTGTAGCAGTTGACATCCAAGCATGTGATCAGAGAACTCCTCTCATTGAACAGAATTCTCTTGTGTTCAGACTCACGTGGAAATCTCACGTGGCATGTATTCCATTATCATCACATGCAGTGAGCGCACAAATCACTCTGCAATAGGTGGACAAACTAACCAAACAAACCTGATCCTTTACCATAGAGAGTTTGAGCAGCACAGTTCTAATCTATAGCTTAAGAAGTGGGGGTGGGAAATCCCTTCTAAGTAAATAAAGGCAAAGATTTATTTTTTAAAGCTGTACTTTTTGAAAAGCGTATTTAAAAAAAAAAAAAAAACAGTTCAGCATTCATAAGCTCAGACTCCCTGTGAGGTAGGAATCATTTTACATGTAAGGAAACACAGAATGCTTAATTGGCTTTTGCCAGTTTGAGGGGCTAGGCAGGCGCAGGTCCTGAGCCACAGAAGGTGACAATGAACAACAGCAGAACTGGGATATGCTGGCTGGTTCCAAACATGGTCTGCCTCCAGCGCCCAGGTCTGGGTAAGCCATCAAATGGGTCTCCAAGATGTCTGTGGAAACTAAAGCAAGCAGCTCATAAAAGAGCCGTCTGTGGGCGTCAGGATCTGGCTGGTGAAAACCCCAAATGCTTGGGCCCCAGACTAATCAGAGGACGGCATCGTCAGGCTATGATTAATGCTGGCTCATAAAACCACATGGTATAAAGGCCCTTCTGTCTGCTCCGCATCTGGCCTGCCTAGCAAGTCACATTTCTGAGATTGGACAATTCTCCCTTCCTACTCACCTTCTCTACTTTTTTTTTTTTTTAAATTACCAAGTAATCAGGATTGATTCTACTTTAGAAATGGGACTTAATCTTGCTATTTGTTATCCTTCTCAACCAGAATGAAACCCAGAGAAATTCTTAAGCCTTTAAAAACGGTCGCAATAAAGCTAATTGCTAATATTTATTGAGTACTTACTACATGCCAGGCTTTATGCTAGGAGCTATACATGCACGATCTTACCTAATTTTTCAACTGTTAAAAATGTACTATTATTACCGTCATCTACAGAAGGGGAAACTGAGGCTTAGAGAGGTAACACAGCTAGGCAGATGTCTCATAGCTGATTTAAATGTCAGAGACAGGTCTCGAAGTCAAGCCTCCCTGACTCCAAAGCTTGGGCTGTTCCCTACCAGGCCAGGCCAGGCAAATGGGGTGGATCTAAGGGAAGGCAGGCATCTGCAGTTAACATTTCTAGGGAAGGCTTCCAAGAACAGGGAGGGCCCTGAATGGATCTTTGAAAGCTAGCCAGGATTTGGAAGGAGGCAAGATAGAGAAGGCAAAAGGAACCAGCATCCCTTGAACATTTTGTATATTTTATCTTACCAACACCTTGCCTCTCCCTATGTGCAGAGTCCCCTGCCCCATTTTACAGGGGAGCAAACAGAGACTTGTGAGGAGCCTACACAGGGGTGGCACTGACTCATACCTCACCCCCTGCTTCCGTACCCATGGCAGAAATTGCTTATCAGTCAGAGCACTGTCTCCCATTGCACCTTCATTGGACCTGAGAATCTTTCTCAACATTGCTCTTTTCAATGCAAATAACTGCTATTTACCAGGATTGACATGTAAGATGAAATCCATTTACTGTCCTTGTCTGACAGCTGGAGAAGAATTAGGAAGAACAGAATCAGGATTGGGTCTTCTGATTCCAGAGTCCATGTGTGTTTTACTGCCCAACCCTGAGAATAGAGCCCCTTTCTCTTCTACTTTTCTCTCTGCATTTTTAATTTTTCTCCTGATAAATCCTGATTCCGGAAACCACTTTACCCCAAGATGTCCCAGCCAGACAGCAGAGCATCAAGTGACTCAGAAAGGTCCTCATGAAAAATGTAAAACCTAACCCCATCTCCAACTGGTCTGAGAAGAGGCCTCTTACTAAAGGTTTTGGGAACATGACCTTAGCTCCCTGGAGAGATACCTAGGAGATTATCTTATAGGCTCTGAGTGGCACAGGCAGCTGACTCAGACCCAACCCTCTCTCTAGCATCCCATTCCCAAGTCTATAACATTAATAGTGATTTCCTGAAGAGCTGTGTTAAGGTGGATTCTGAGACCCTTGTCAAGGTTGATTAGTAATGTCTGCCATGGGTGCGTAACTAGGAAGCATAGACAAGAGTCTTAGGCCAGCCAGGCAAGGCCATCAAAAAACATACATCAAGAGGGAGCTATATACTGAGGCCCTAACAGTACAAAGGCAGCTGGTACTCAGCTGGGGCTTGGAGCTGCAGTAGGAAAACTGGGTCCCTGGGAGGGAAAACTCCCTGTCTCCAGGGCCCCAGCCAGGAACCCGTGAGCTCTATAGGCCACAGACACCCATAGCTGGGACAGAGCCATGAAAGGACCCTGTGAATGCAGGGATCAGCAAGAGGTGGGCTGTGCAAGACTTCTACCACAGAGTTTATTTGTAAAGCTGAGCAGGGAGGGAGGCAGGCCCTTGAAGGCCAGAGCTGCAGACATATTCGGGAACTGGAGAATCCTAGCACCAGGCAGTACATACCCAGTCCACTCACCCTGACGTGACAAGAAAAGGAAACTCTCCCAGCAGTTGGGGGACATATTTTTCTTTTCGCAAACCATCTGTCTTTTAGAGAGGCAGAATAGAAGGAGTTGAGACCCAAGCTGTTGAGTTCAAAGCTATTTTTAGCACATACTAGCTGTGTGACCTTGGGGAGATACTTAGGGAGGAACTCTCTGTTCCCAAGGTGTAATATGAGTACCTTTCTCCTAGGAGTGTTGTGAGAATTAAATGGGTTAACATATGTAAGGCACTTAGAAGAATGTCTGGAACATTGTAAGCACCATGTAAGTGTTAGTTACTCCTATGATTCCTTAAACCACTCAACCTGCGGGAGTGGGCGGCCTTCACTGAAGAGGTTTCTCTCCCATGAGCTGAATAAGCAGTGACACTGGGACTGCTTCAACACATTCTGGCAGAGTGAGCAAAGCTCTCATTTCCTCTTCTCCAAAATCCTTCCTTAGCTCCCAGGAGCAGAGCAGGCCCCAGGCAATAAATGAGAAGAGCTGTTCTTCTCATTTATTCCCCAATATTTGCTCCTCAATGGCTGTTTCCTAACCACCGGGCCCTGGGCCCTGCCCCAGCCTGTTGGCTGTTGGCTGTTGTTTCTCTGTCCTCTGATGGTCACAGCCACTTCCCCGACCCACTGTTCCCAGAGAGGCCCCAACCCTTGGGTGTCCTGCTTCAGACTCACAGGGGAGGACCTAACTTCTAGGCCCCTCCACACTCCTAAATTAGTCTTTGGATGGGCCCAGGAAACTTTTCACAGGATCTACTAAGTGATTCTTATGCAGTGTAAAGTTGGAGACGGTTTCTCACACCTAGCTGTCTGGCATGTTAATGCTAGAAGCCACTTGCAGTTTCATAGTGATCAAGAGTGAAACCACAGGTTGCCCTGGTCTTCCCAAGACTGAGTCAAGGATAAGTCTTTCCCAGATGTGTAGTCACCTGAGTAGCTTCCTGGGGATTCTTGTTCTTTCAAGTATTGGGTGAAGGAGCTTGGCCTCTTTGGCCATCCAGAATCCATCACCTCTTTGGCCCCTTTCCTAGGCTATAAATTTGGGTTAGTGCTACTGCTCATCTCTCTCTTAGTTGTGATAAGGATCAAATGAGGTCGCCACAGACTTCTCACAATGGTTAAGAGCTCAACGATAATGCAGATGAGGAAACTGAGGCCCAGAGAGGCTGGGTACTTTCTCTGTCTTACATAGAAAGCAGCAGCAGGATTGGATCTAGAAACCCAAATTCCCTGATATCCCAGGACTCTGTCTACCATCGAGGCCATCTCCTGTGTCTGAAAAAGCACCTGGAAGAGTACGGGACAGTGCAGATGCAGGGATTAGCAAGGTATGCTGTGAGCCCATATTGCCAGAAGTCATCTCAGCCAGGTGTTCCAGAAATCTAGGGTAGAGCCACCAAGGGGGCATCCACAGCTACCCCTCAAATGATGAGTTTCACAGGAACCCAGGTCTCTTCCTTTCCTTTTCTAAAAATGCCCTGATTCAGAATTTATTAATGATGAAACTCGGCAAATACCAGGCTCTGAACTAGTACACCACCCCTCAGGTTCCTCATCCCTGCTCCCTAAAATCAAGCAACAACTAGATTGCTTATTATGAATTACAGTATGACTTTCCAAGTCGTTTAGCACAATTCCAAGATGAGTCCAGCCCCAATGGCACGATATGGGGCAGGCGGTTTCTAAGATGGAAAATTTGGCAGCAGCCACCTTGGCAGTAGGAATCAGGAAACCTGGTGAGGGTGTCAGGGTCAAGATCTGGGTTTAACACAGAAATGGAGAACAGTTGTCAAGAATAAACAATTGCTTTTCACAGTTTTCATGCTATATGACCTTGACCTTTATTTCCCCCCTTTCTCCCCACCCAAGTATAAACTTTTATTTTAAAAAGTCCTAATTGGACAGTTATATATGAACATATTAACACTCGAATGGTTACCATTCATGTTGACATGAAAATAGTTATTGACTCGAGACCTTGTCAGTTCTACTATTAGAAGGTGCCTTTGCATATTTTTCAATTAATAAACCATGAAAAATCTTATGCCCATGATGATTTAATTATACGTGTCTGAGAAAGGTAATTTTAAACTAGATTGACTTTTTTTTTCTAATTGGGAGCATTGCCATGAGGTAAGTGAAGTAAAAATAATCAGTTTTGATGGAAACAAAGTCCTTGCCACAAAGCCAGCAAATCTAAAATGAACATCAACTTAAGTTACACCATTTTCATGATTTGTGACTACAGCTTGAGAGAGAATGAAAGCTTATTTAGGCTTCTTTTGGGTGTTACCAAAATTCACAACATCTCTTCTTCGAGAATCCTTGAGTTCTATAAAAACTCGAAGAAGCCAGAAATTGTTCACCTTCCAGATTGCACCAATTCTTGGGTCTCTGCCTGGAGGCTTGAGAATCACAGTTGGTTTCTCTCCTCCTGCCTAGGGACTGCAGTACATGGAGCTCATCCCAAAGGAGAAGCAGCCAGTGACGGGCACCGAGGGTGCCTATTACCGCCGCCGCCAGCTCATGCACCAGCTCCCCATCTACGACCAGGACCCCTCTCGTTGCCGCGGACTTTTGGAGAATGAGCTGAAACTGATGGAAGAATTTGTCAAGCAATATAAGAGTGAGGCCCTCGGTGTGGGAGAAGTGGCCCTCCCTGGGCAGGGAGGCTTGCCCAAGGAAGAAGGGAAGCAGCAGGAGAAGCCAGAGGGTGCAGAGCCTGCGGCCCCGACTACCAATGGCAGCATTAGCGACCCAGCCAAAGAATATGTAAGTCTCTCCCAGGCCTCCAGGGCTGTTGCAACCACCCAGGCCAGGGCTGCACCGTCAGGCTTTTTCCCTCATTCACGCACTCATTCATGCATTCATGCCTCTAGCAGCTATTTGGTGCTCATTACTCTGTGCCAGGCACTGTCCCATGGAAAAAAATACAAGGTCGCTGCCCTCAAGGGGCTCATCATCAAGTGGAGGTCACAGACAACCAGACATCACAGCTTAGAGAAAGGGCACCTGAGCTTGCTTGGGGTGTGGGTAGGATTGGATTAGGAGCTGAAGCCCGAGTTGGCTTCAGAAGAAGAATTAAAAGTCACTCAGGCCTTCAGGCTTTGAGGGGACAACCTATGCTGCCCTAAAGAGATGAACATGTGCAAAAAGGCCCTAAGTTCCAGACAGCATGGTGGAATCAGACGATTGAATGAAGTCCCATGTGACTTATAGCGGGGTGAGCTAGTGGGAGGCAGGACACAAGGCTGGCAAGGTCATCAGGGGCACACTTCCTGCAAAGTCAGGCCATCCACCCATTCATTGCTCAAATATTAATCAGCCTGTGCTGTCTGCCAAGCCCAGGTAGTTAAACAAGCAGAGGGCACTGCCATGGACTTAGGGCTTTACTCTGAGGGCCATTTGAGCTGTGGTAGGCTTTCCATCGGAAGGATCACAGGATCTGAGCTGTGCTTCTAAAAGTTTACTCTAGTACGAGTGTGAATGATACGCTGTGACAGATGAGCCTCTGCCTGAGAAAACACAAAGGAGGGACCATAGTCTGAGCTGTGTAAGCTTCAGTGATGGGTTTATCTTATTCTGTTCCTCAGGAGGTAAAAGTACTAGCTTGAGATTGGTGCCACGTGGGACTGATGTTTGCTAAGTTTCATGGCCCCTACCCCCTACCTTTTGCTGTCCCCTACCCAATCCCTGCCACTTTCCCATCAGCCAAGTGGCCTCATGCTTCTATTTGGCATTGAGAGATAAAGGCTTGAATACATGAAGTCTTCAAGCAAATTACCTGCCTTACTGGGAATGGGCTGACCCAGACATCCCAAGGGAATGCCAGCCCAAACAATGCTGTCATTACATCCAGAGAGGACTGGCCTCTTCCTTTCCTGCAGTGACTCAAACATGTCATCCCATACTCTTGTCCTGCATCTCCAACCCCCATCTCTCTGGCACATTCACTTGGGATTGCTGTCCAGTGAACTATGACCTCACACTCTTTACCTGAGAACTCTAAGACAAAAGAACAAAACTTATTTTCTCTACTACAAATTTGGTGATGATGTCGAAAAGACCCATTTCTCAGGAAGAATACATGTCCCAGGAACTTTAAAACTTAGATGTAGTGACCATGTTTTATGAACTAGTTTCCTCCCAAACTCTGCCCTCTATCTACCCTCAAATAGCTGTCTGTCCTTAAAGCATAAGTATTGTGTAATTCCAAGTTGGAGGGCGACTTCTTTAAGTCATCGTGACATTTTCCAGTTGCCATTCCCAAGAGAGAGATGCCGATCTGAGAACGTTATTTTATTCTTGACCCAGTCCCACATTTTGTTCAGTGAAGAAATGGGACAAAGATTGCTTGAGATTCCACATCCCTGTCTACAGTCAACTTTAAGAAATAGTGCTGACACTTAAGAAGCATTTAAACAAAATTAGAAAGTAAATGTCAAGTGACAGAGTCAGAAAATAAGGTCAAAAAATTGATTGGCCTGGGCTGGCTGGGGAAGACACCTTTCTCCTTCCTTACCCTAACCCCAATCTAAATTCAATAACTAATTATGTGATAGTGGCTTCATGTCTGTCACCCCCTCTAGATGCTGAGGTCTTGTCTTATTCATCTCTGTATCTGCAGCAGATGCCTTCGATAGAGATAGTAGGTGCTCAATAAATATGCGATCCATGAGTGAATGAACAAATAAATGAATAAATGAATGTTCAAACAAATTGAGCCCAGAAAGATGGGTACAATTTAGATGGCCCTTTTGCCTAGGAGGATGATGAGATCTCAATTTTTCATTTATTAAGCACCTGCTCTGTGCCTAATAACACACTCACCCTTTCAGGGTCTTTGTTTAATTCGCACAGTTGCCTGGTGGGGTGCATTTTACCAACCCCATTTTACAGGTGAGGTATCAAGAGATTCAGAGATAATAGTTAACTTTTCTGAGTCCTATAGTTTCTAAGCAGAAGAACACAGATCCAATACGCTTTCTAAAGTTATAAAACCCTGATTATTACCTGTTCCAGGAAGAAAGGAGGCTGAGTACTTTTATTTAATCCCTTTTTATCTCTGGGGGGGGAAAAACCTATAAAGGTAGCTAGATAGCCTGCCAGGCCATAGACCATGTGTCTCAAGCATCACCACTGTTAGAAGCAGGCTATACTCCCTGAACTATTCTGCCTTACCTCAGAGAGTGGCCTCATTAAGTGGGTGTGGGTGCCGGTCATCCGGGGTCCTGTGCTCCTTTGTTTCTCATAAAAGGGCAGTATAAGACAGTTACCAGGGCCAAGAATCCGGCGCGAATTCTGATTTTTGCTCCCCCAATGAGGGCAAAGAACTTGGCTAGAAATGGCCAGGGAATTCAACTTGAGGGCCCAGGTATGGGGAGGAACTTGTAGGACTGCACTCAATACCTCAAATCCAAACAGAGATTTATGAAAAAACAAATGGAGGCAAAAAATGGGACACGTGAAACTATTATACAGGAACTGTATTTGGTAACCTCTCTGTTTATCACCCTAAACTAATAGTGATTGCTATCACTGTTGTTAGCAGCTACAATTTTGTGGGTGTTGCTGTGGGCCAAGGGCAATGCTAAGCACTGCAGTATCTGATTTAAAGTTCCCAACCACCCAGAGACATGAAAAAAGCCTGCGGGATTCTAACCAACCTCTGTGAGACCCCAAGTCCATCTTTTCTCTTTCCCAAAGCTTATTCCTCAGAAAGCGAATGGATATTATGGCATAGAGGGTTGTGTGGACCTGTAAGTTTGGGAGACATTAGAGTAAATAAAAATAAATGAGTTTCTTTACAGCAGGACTTCTCAGAGCCTTTAGTAGGCTAAAGCAGTGGTTCTCAAACTATCACCTGGAAGGCTTGTTCAAATTCGGAGGGCTGGGTCCCACCCCACAGCTCCCTACTTAATAGATGTAGATGGGACCTGAGAACCTGCATTTCTAATGAGTTCACAGGTTAATGCTGACGCTGGTCTGGGGGCCACACTTTGAGAACCACTGCTAAAGAGTATTAAAAATCACCTTACATATAAACTCAGTGAAAATGATATCGCCAATTTGGTCTATGGTGAGGGGTCCAAGAGATGGTAACCCAAGCATTTTCCAGATTTATTTGACCTCCTGGCTTAGGAAGTCCAGCTTTGAAAATGCTGCAAAGCACACTCACATTCTTTGAGTTCTGGAAACACAGGCACAGAATTAAACACATTGCTTTACACCAGACCCTGGCCACTCGTGTCTTGACCACTTTACACTCAGCAATCTGGGACCATGAGATCCCACTTTCATCTATGCTGTGTTTAGCCTGCACTGGAGGGCAGTTCTCTCCTGTGAGGCTCCATCGTGCTGCAGCTCAGTCTGGTACAGTCAAGTCCTTCTTCAGAGACCTTGGGAGGGGCTCAGTTGGGGGCAAGTGGGGTCAGGCTGCCGAGCCCTCCCTGACAGCTGCTCACTAAACTGCCCTCAGAGGAAAGAGTTATCCAGACCAGAGGAACAGTGTAGCCAAAAGCCTTTTCCAGCTCACCTGTGTGAAATTCCCACCCATGGACTGAATTTTGAGTGAAGTCAGGCTGTGAGAGACAGTGTCTTCTGAGCTTGACCCGTCCTTGTGGCCAGGGCTGTCTGGTTATGCAGATCTGAGCATAATGTGCAGATCTGCGCCCCACCCCCAGCTTTCAACCCCTAGGCCTTCACACAGGGTGATCTAAAATTAGCCGTAGCACATCTGAGAATGAACCCAAGAGCTGTGGCTGCCCGCCCCAACTGCAGAGCAGTCCTCTGAAAGCATTATTAATACACTGAGGCTTGGAGAGACGGGACACCATGGGTAATGCCTTCAGCATAATCCGTCTTCGGGAGGAAACACAACAGCAGAAAAATCCCAGATGCTAACTTACCCCGTGTTCCTCCCAGAGCATGCCCTCTAAGTCAATGAGACCAAATAAAAACCCAAAATATTTAATCTCCCTCTCTTGCCCTCACCTGTATCACTGTGTGTGTGGCCGGGGGGAGAGAACTGTTACTGCATAGCAGGCCCATTCATCTCTTTGAATCCCCCTAACAACCAGCGAGAGAGGATGGGGCTGTTATACCCATTTTACAGATGTGGAGCTTGAGGCACCAGCTTGCTGATGAGAGGTGGGGTGAGGCTGCAATTCCAACCCAGGTCCTTCTGAGTCACAGTCCTATGGAGTCTGAGCAGTCCTGGGTGGGGCCCAGCAGAATGAGTACAACAACACAAGGGGGTATGTATTTAGGTTTGCTGGGGTGAACAGCAGCAGTGTTTGGAGTAACTTGCAGCCCCGCCCAGTGGAGAACTGGGGGACTTCTTGTCTGCATGTGAGAACAACGGAAGGACTGCCCCACCCCAATCCCACCCGCCATGGGTCTTGGGGGATTCAAAGGGTTCTGTGGGCAGCGAGCTGCCAACTCCAGCAAGCTGGACAGTTTCACACCAGAACAGTGAGGCCCAGACCCACTTTCCCAGCCCTCTGCTCCCACCTCTCCCTCCTGGATGGAACCTATGGGTGCCTGCACACCCTGCAGGCGATGACCTCAGTGCTCTGATTGCTAACATCTCCACCAAACCATTTCTCTGTGTTTGGAGAGCTTACGGAATATTCTCTCAGAAATTGAATATACAGATTTCCTGGACATGGTCATTTTGCACAGGC